GGGGTAGGAGGAGGGGGGGTAGGGCGAAGGTAAACGAAGGTTTGTTACCGGGACGTCGCCCCGAGCACATCGGTGAGGGTTGGTATTGATCCTTCCTGGTTCTTACCTGAAAAAGCCCACTGGAACAGCCAGAATATGTACTTCGGTGCACCATCATTTGCAGTCGCTACTCCATCCATCACAAAGAAGTTACTGCCAATGAATCCATTCTTATTGTCCTCACCAAAGGCAAAAGCATAGCCTGTTGCGTACCATGCGATGGCCCCCACACATGCATCCAGCAGGTTCTTTAAGAGGATGTTGATAGTGTTCTTTGAGCGGACAGACCCAGCACATAGCTGCACACACACAACCAGGCACAGGAAAAAAGCCAATCGGTCAACTTTGGATGCTTCAGAAGGCTACATTTGGTCCACCCCCTCCTTTCTCAAATTTGCAGACATCGCCCCACAGTCCTGCAACCCCTCTCTACCTCATCCCCCTTATACACCATCTGTAGCCAGGCCAGGTACCCCACAGGTTATCCCCATGCCACAGAAAAGTTCGGCTTAGAAGAGGTGCGTCGTGGCAGGGAGGGAAAAAGAAATAGAGTCCCCGAATTTTGGCAATCTTTTGCTGTCATCTGCGTAGAGAAACAAACCTTCAAAATATCACGGATGTAGAGTACATCCTCCCATATAGGGGGAAAATACTAAATAAATGACAAAAAAAAAAAAAAAAACCCATAAAAAATATGGTGCAAATGCGGTCCAAAGTTGCAAACTGGCACCATTGTCAGACCCAACCCCCATGATGGTCCAGGTGAGAGCAAAATTAGAGCATTCAAGCATTGGGAGAATCAGGGGGTACTGCTGGGTCAAGCCTAAAGCACTTCCTTCTTTTCTTTCTTTTTTTTTTTGTTGATGATGATCCGAAAGACCGTGCACATAGCTGCACACAGAGGACTGCACATACATAAACATAGCCCATCAGCCGATTCTGCATGCCTCAAAAAGGATCATTCCTCACCCTCCCTTCTCCCAAGACACAGCACGCAGGGTTACAAAACTCCCTCGTAAACCACCGGTCTGTTGTTTTGTTTTGTTCTGTTGCCGTAATCATCTGAAGGGGGGGCTGCAACAAGCGAGGCATACTAGCCAAACTTGATCTAGGACGCACCATTCGGATGGCTCCGATCTATTCATGGGGAGCAGCCTGCACTGGGAAACAGGCTGAAAATTCAGAAACACAAGAAAGTGTAGATCTTGAACCGCCAGTACCTTTCCCAAACATCGGCCGCGGGCGCTGTGCACCAAGCGCAGCTGATGGATCTGGTCGGCGCCGGAGGCTGAATCAGGCCTCTGTGTTAACCGCCGCGCCCCAGATCCCAAGTGGGGAAAGGTACTGGTGGTTTAAGCCACCAGTTCAGCCAAGTCTATACCTTCTGAGCGGAAAAACAAAACACAAATGCGCCTGAACTGACACTCCTACCAGCACATTACCGGGTCATACCATCTGTTTTCATTGGCCAAACCTTCTGTTTTCCTTTTTAAATGTTTTGCCTGATGCAGAGTAACCTACCCGACGACCCTCATTTTTCGGAAGTTTTTGTCACTGGGAATCCCTATACCCTTAAAAGATACAGCGGTCCCACCGACAGATGCCGTCGCGGGCCCACGAGAAACCGTGGCGGGGGCCCGTCGTCGGGTCGGGCAGGGACCACGACAGGACCGGCGCGGGCGCAAAAACCAAACGGTGCGCGCGAAAAGACAAGCGAACAGGACCGGCGCGGGCGCAAAAAGCAAACAGCGAACAGGACCGGCGCGGGCACAAAAAGAAAACGGCGAACAGGACCGGCACGAGCGCAAAAAAGCAAACGCTCCGAAATGACGCGGGGCCACGTCGGAAAAGCCCAGCAAGGGGAGAGGGAAGAGGCGGCCGTGGGCCTGGGCGTCGTAAACCGTAGGAAAACATGCGGAATATTTCGATGTTCTAGCGGAAGATTCCTTCGATTTTGCTCATCGTGTGTGTGTGTGTGTGTGTGTGTGTGTGTGTGTGAGAGAGAGAGAGAGAGAGAGAGAGAGCGGCCAACAGGTAAGTCTCCAACCCCGCGACTGGCCTAACGCTACTTCGTCAACAGGATGAGCAAAATCGAATGAATCTTCCGCTAGAACATCGAAATATACACTACTACTCACGCACGTGTGTGTGTGTGTGTGTGTG